TGTGTGTTTGTGTGTTTGTGTGTTTGTGTGCTTGTGTGTTTGTGTGTTTGTGCTCTTTTGTGTTTGTTTGTATGCTTGTGGGTGTGTCTTTGTGAATGGGCGTTTGTGTGTTTGTGTGTTTGTGTGTTTGTGCTTTTTGTGCTTGTTTGTATGCTTGTGGGTGTGTGTTTGTGAATGGGCGTTTGTGTGTTTGTGCGTTTGTGTGTTTGTGTGTTTGTATGTGTGTTTGCGTGTCTTTGCGTTTGCGTGTTTGTGTGTTTGTGCGTTTTTGTGTTTGTTTGTATGCTTGTGGGTGTGTCTTTGTGAATGGGCGTTTGTGTGTTTGTGCGTTTGTGTGTTTGTGTTTTTTGTGCTTGTTTGTATGCTTGTGGGTGTGTGGTTGTGAGTGGGCGTTTGTGTGTTTGTGCGTTTGTGTGTGTGTGCTCGTGTTTCTGTGTTTGCTTGTGTGTTTGTGTTTGTGTTTGTGTTTGTGTGTTTCTGTGTGTGCTTGTGCGTTTCTGTGTTTGTTTGTGTGTTTGCGGCTGTGTTTTTGTGTGTGTGTGTGTGTTTTGTGTGTGTGGTTGTGTGTTTGTGCGTGCGTGCTTGCGTGAGTGCGTGCACGTGTGTGTGTGTATTTGTGTGTGCGCGTGTGTTCGTGTTTGTGTGTGTCTCTGTGTGGTTGTGGGTTTGTGTATGCTTGTTGTTGTTGTTGGTGGTGGTGGTGGTGTTGTGGTGGTTGTCGTCCTCGTCCTCGTCCTCGTCCTCGTCCTCGTCCTCGTCCTCGTCCTCGGCCTCGTCGTCGTTGTCGTTGTCGTTGTCGTTGTCGTTGTCGTTGTCGTTGTTGTTTTTGTTGTTGTTGTTGTTGCTGTTGCTGTTGTTGTTGTTGATGATGATGATGATGATGATAATGTTGTTGTTAGTGTTTGTGTGTGTTTGTGTTTGTGTGTGTTTGCGTGTTTTTGCGTGTGGGTGTGTGGGTGTGTAGGTGTGTGGGTGTGTGGGTGTGTTTGTGTGTGTGTGGGTGTGTGCATGTGCTTGTGCGTTTGCGTGTACATGTGTGCGTTGTGTGTTGCGTGCGTGTCCGTGTGTGTGTGTGTTTGCGTTTGCGTGTGCGTGTGCGTGCGTGCGCACGTGCGTGCGTGCGTGTGTGTGTCTGTGCGCGTGTGTTTGTGTCTGCTGTGTGATTGTTTTCGGGTGCCTTTGTGTTTGTTTGTGTGCTTGTGGTTTGTGTGTTTGTGTGTTTTTGTGTTTTTGCGTTTGTGTTTGTGTGTGTGTGGTTGCGTGGTGGTGCGTTGGTGTGTGTGTGTGTGTCTGTGCGTGTGTGTTCGTGTCTCTGTTTGTGTGTGTGTGTGTTTGTGTGTGTGTGTTTGTGTGCGTGTTTGTGTGTTTGCGTGGGTGGTCGTCTTTGTTGTTTGTGTGCGTGTGGGTGCGGGCGTTTGTTTTGTGTTTGTGTTTGCGTTTGTGTTTGTGTGCTTGTGTGCTTGTGTGCTTGTGTGTTTGTGTGTGTGTGTTTGCGGGTTTGCGCGTTTGTGCGTTTGTGTGTTTGTGTGTGTGTGTGTGTGTTTGTTTTGTGTGCTTGTGTGTTTGTGTGTGTGTGTGTGTTTGTGTGTGTGTGTGTGTTTGCGTGTGCTTGTGTGTTTGTGGGTGTGTGTTTGTGTGTGTGTGTGTGTTTTTGTGTGTGTGTGTTTTGTGTGTGTGTGTTTGTGTGTTTGTGTGCTGGTGTGTGTGTGTGTTTGCGCGTTTGTGTGGTTGCGCGTTTGTGCGTGCATGCGGGCGGGCGTCTGTGTGTGTGTGTGTGCGCGTCTTCCGTGTGCTTGTGTTTGCGTGTTTGTGTGTTTTTGTTCTTGTGTTTGTGTGTGGGTGTGTGGGTGGTCTTGTGCGTACGAGCGTGCGTGCGGGTTTTTTGTGTGTCGGCGGTGTGTGTGTGTGTGTGCGCCTACACGTGCGTGTGCGTGTGCGTGTGCGCGTGCGCGTGCGTGCTTGGGTGCGTGCCTGCCTGCGTGCGTGCGTGCGTGTATGTGTGTGTGGTGCGCGTGGGTGCATGTCGTGTGTGCGTGTTCGTGCGCGTGCGCGTGTGCGTGCGCGTGTGGGTGCGGGTGTGGGTGCGGGTGCATGGGTGTGTTTGTCTGTTTTCGAGGAATCCTTTTCGGTGTCAGTTGCAACGCGAAACTGACTGGAAACAACCATATTATGGGTCATGGGGGCAAATCTGGCTGCGTGCGTCTTGAGGTAGAATTGCTGATAGGCTTTTGCCGGTGGGACCCAACTTGACTTTTCCAAAACTAAACTGTCAACTGTTTGGAACGAATATTGTTTGTGTAGTGGTGGCAGGAAACATAAAAGTTTCATTTTTCCAGCGGGCCCAATACGCTTACCCTTGTAGAGACAGGGTCAAAGGGAACATAATTCACACGTATTTCACTGGGGGGTTCTGAAGGCCACTTGGACCATTTGTCAATTAGGTACCGTGCTTTGACTTGCGTTTTTGCTTCGTGGTAACAGGCTTTATGGTGCAACCAGGCACTTGTCAACATCCTCAGCGCGCACTGACTGACACTCGGGATTCAACGCCCAGCACGTCCAAAGGCTGATGCTGATCCACGTGTTGCAGCGGCGCCCATGCCCACTGCTGCCCTCTCTGCAGGCACGGGCTTCGGGTGGATGGGTGAGTCCAAGAAGCCAGGGAGCCATTACATTGGACCGGTGCACGAATGTTGGTATCAACGACTGGTTTGGATTATTTGCGCAGATGCGCATGACCCCTTGATGCTGCCTTGGGTTTTCAGCTTGTTTGTTTCAACCGGCGAGTCCGAGAGATTCAGGCTGCAGCGTAAAGCTCAAGAAAAAGGCAAAGTGGGAGTCTGAAATCGCTCAAGCAGGCAGTTTCCGTCCGTCAGGAGGGAAGGGGCGCAGAAAGGGCTCGTAGCTCAGGCCTTGTATAAGCATGACACATTTTCCGGAAGCCGAACAAGAAAATCTGGCTCCCTGTTCCCCAAAGCCAGATTTGTGTTGGCTTGAGTGTGAAATGCAGCTTCTTTGTTTGCGCGTCGCCGTTCATTTGTTTCATTCCCAAAGCTGAAGTGGCTTGGCAGCTACGCCAGGCAATCCCAGGCAAGCCCGTATAGTAGGTAACCCTGCCACTTCATTTCGACTTTTAAAGGGAGCTTCCCTTGTTGACGTACCATGGTAACAATGTAAAAGGATGTTTTCTGCACCAGTTTCGGAGGTTCTACAGAGTTGAAGCGCAATGCGTGCTGCCTGCGTGGGCGGCGCTGGCGCAGTTTTGCGAGATTGATAGCAGGGTGCTACGAGGCATGCAGTTTGGGGTGCTGGAGCAGGTGCTGCTCTGGGTGCGTGCGGGCGCAATTTTGCGAGATTGATGGGCAGGGTGCTGGGGGATTTAGTTTGGGGTGCTGGTGCAGGTGTGCTTTGGGCTGCTGTTTTCTGCGACGCTGCAGGCGCAATTTTGCGGGATTGGCAGCCGGTCTGTTTGGGGTGTTTAGGGTGCTTTTGGAGGCTGGTAATGGCACAAACGCGTGTTTGCGAGATTGACGGTAGGCATGCAGCGCGGGGTGCTGGTGTAGGTGCAGTTTTTCGCTATTTGGGGGCTTGATAGTGTAATTTGTTTCCCGGAAGGGTAGTGACGAGTTCTAGCTCAAAAAAGCTATCTCTGCTGAATATCTCAACATGGTCCTGCTTCACAGCGCATCTCAACGCAACCTTGCTTCACAGCACATCCTGCTGCACAGCGCATCTCAACATGGCTTTGCTACACAGCACATTAACATGGCCTTGCGCATCGCAACATGGCTTTGCTGCGCAGCGCATTTCAACATAGCCATTGCTCCGCAGCACATATCAAACATAGCCACTGCTGCGCAGCGCTGACCTGCACTGGTGTCTGCCCAGCTCATCGCACTTCATGGTGCTGGCGGGACAAAATTTAAGAACTCTGCAGGGATCACACGTGTCTCGCTGCGAGAGATAAAGAAATAGATAGATAAACGATAAACAAATAGATAGATAGATAGACAGATAGATAGATTGATAGAGAGATAGATAGATAGAAACAGAGAGAGAGATAGATAGATAAGTAGATAGATAGAGAAATAAATAGAGATCGATAGATAGATAGATAGATGAATAGATAGAGAGGTAGATAGATAGATAGATAGGTAGAGAGAATGAGATAGAGAGGTAGATAGAGAGATGGATAGATAGGTAGATCTATAGGTAATTATAAATATAGATAGATAGATAGATAGATAGATAGATAGATAGAGAGATAGAGAGACTGATAAATACACGTGAGATAATGAGATAGAGAGATAGATAGATAGAGAGATAGACAGACAGAGAGAGAGATAGATAGATAGGTAGACAGAGGGATACATAAAGAGATATAGAGATAGATAGATACATAGATAGATAGATAGATAGATAGATAGATAGATAGATACGCGGGAGATAGATGGGGAGATAGATGGATAGATAGATAGATAGACAGGAAGATAGATAGAAAGAGATAGAGAAAGAGATAGAGAGATAAATAGATAGAAAGAAAGATAGATAGAGAGATAGATGGAGTGATAAATAGTTAGATAGCTAAACAAACAGAAGATATATAGATAGATCGATAGAGAGAAAAATAGATAATTATATAGAAAGAGAGATAGAGATGTAGATAGATAGATAGGTAGATAGAGAAATAGATAGATAGATAGATAGATAGGCAGATGGATAGATAGATAGATAGATAAATATATAGAGAGGTAAATAGATAGATAGATAGATAGACAGATAGAGAAAGAGAGAGACAGAGCTGGAGGGATATAGAGAGATGGATAGATAGAGATAGAGAGATAGGTAGATATATAGATAGAGAGATAGAGGGATAGATAGAGAGATAGATAGAGAATATAGATAAATAGATAAGCAGACAGATAGATAACACGAGAGATAGATAGATAGGTAGTTAGGTATAGATAGGTAGAGAAAGATAGATAGACAAGCAAACGAAAGAAAGAAAGAAAAGACAGATAGAAAGAAGGAAAGAAGGGAGGAAGGAAGGAAAGAAAGGAAGAAAGGAAGAATGACGGAGAAAAGGAGTCAAGAAAAGAAAGAGAAAGATAACTATAGGTTTTTTTATTTTTTATTTTGGAAACTTCCGCCCACCGGCTTTGTCGGCTCTACTGGTACTAGTACTACTACTACCACTACTACTACTACCACCACTACTACTACTACTACTACTACTACTATTACTACTACTACTACTTCTACTATTCTTACTACTACTAGTACTACTACTAGTACTACTACTACTACTACTACTACTACTACTACTACTACTACTACCAAGTAAGGTCCGGCAGAGCCGGGGGGCGGAAGTTTCAAAGCAGTGAACAACTATAGTTTGGAGAACTGTCCTTGGCCCCTTGCTTCTCTCTCTCTCTCTCTTTTTCTCTCTTTCTCTCTTTCTCTCTTTCTCTCTTTCTCTTTCTCTTTCTGTTTCTCTGTCTCTTTCTCTCTCTTTCTATCTATCTCTCTAGCTATCTCTATATCTGTTTATTGATCTATCTATCTACCCATCTTTCTCTGCACTTAAAAGTTGCGATGTTCAATCCCCGAAAGTTGACTTCGCGTACTACTTTCGTACTTAAAAGTTGCGATTTTCGAGCCCCAGCTGCGAAACTGGACTTCACGTACTACTTTCGTAATTAAAAGTTGCGATTTTCGAGCCCCAGCTACGAAAGTGGACTTCGCGTACTACTTTCGTACTAAAAAGTCGCGATTTTCGAGCCCCAGCTTTGCGTACTACTTTCGTACTTAAAAGTTGCGATTTTCAAGCCCCGGCTGCGAAAGTGGACTTTGCGCGCTACTTTCGTACTTAAAAGTTGCGATTTTCAAGCCCCAGCTGCGAAAGTTGACTTCGCGTACTACTTTCGTACTTAAAAGTTGCGATTTATCTATAGATCTACCTATCTATCTACCTCTCTATCTCCTATCTATCTATCTACCTCTCTATTTATTTATCTCTCTATCTCTTTATCTATCTAGCTAGTTATTTGTCTATCTATCTACAAATCTATCTATCTCTGTCTATCTCTGTTTCTCTATCTCTTTCTATCTATTTCTCTAGCTATCTCTATATCTGTTTATTGATCTATCTATCTACCCATCTTTCTCTGCACTTAAAAGTTGCGATGTTCAATCCCCGAAAGTTGACTTCGCGTACTACTTTTGTACTTAAAAGTTGCGATTTTCGAGCCCCAGCTGCGAAACTCCTGGGGCCTTGAACGACTGTTTCAAAGCAGGTGCGGGCCGAAAAACCACTTCTGAGGCAAACGACCGGAACCGGTTCGAAATCCCTAGCCTACGCGGCCTTGACTTTGCCAGGCCTGTCTACTTTCCATTTTTCCAGTTGGCTGAACCAGAAATTGCCGTGAGCATTCATGTGCACAATCTAGAATCGAGAAGCCACTGCTAAGTACAGTTATGGCACTTCAGATCAGAGCATAATGAGTGTAGCTGCATGCATGTGTTCTTCACAGCCTTTGCCCAGTGCGCCTGGCTTGCTTTACAGACCTGTCCCTTTCCCAATGGAACCAAGCAGCAAAACAAGAAACGACGCAGACGCAAATTTCTGTCCACTCATGGTGTTAGCCTTGGTTTAGAACCTTCCTCATTATAAGAAAGGGCACCCTAAAAAAAGGCTTGCTTTTGGGCGGCCGGACTCCTCGATTCTTTTTTTTGCGGGGGGAACATTGGATTTTCGGAGGGCGGTTTTTCGGCCCGTTTTCGGCCCGTTGTCTTCCGTTTTCGGCTCGTTTTCGGCCCGAAAACCCGTTTTCGGGCCGAAACTGGCGATGGACAAAACCAGCAAACATCCAGAACCAGGCGTGCAACAACCAGAACCGTGCGTGCAACAACCAGAACCGTCCGTGCAAACAACTGTTTCTGAATTGAATGGTTTTCGGTTCCTTTTGGATGGGGCCATTGGGGCGACCACTCCTTTTTACCAGCAGAAGCCTCCTTTGTAAAGATTGGAAAGGGTTGTTTGGGAAACCACCTGAAAGACACCCATTGGGTGCGTGAGGGAAGAGTGATTTGACCCACTGGCAAAGCCGCTCAACTATAGTGTTCTCGCCAGGGCTTTGGGGTGATAAACAATGTTCGTCGACCCCACATGCTGCTGATGCTGGCGGTACACCTATGTGGCTCTGCCCGCGGAACCGAAGGGTCTTGAAAGTGTGCAGTTCGCGCAGCCCCCTTCTCCATGCCTTTCCCTTTTGCATGAAAGCCTAGAAGAGAAAACAAAGGGATCAGTGCATTTCAGACTGCTGCGGCACGCTTGAGACCCTGCGGGTTGGCCGGGCAGGGTTGGTGCCAGTCTTGCAGAGACGCAAGTCAATCGAGGATATGCCCAACACGAAAAACAGAAAATGGTGATCAGGCCAAACGGCCGGAACTGCAGCAAACGACCGGAACTGATGATGGATGTTCTTACGACTGTTTAAAAACGGTTGTTTCGGGCTCCAGGCTGGACTTCACGTACTACTTTCGTAGTTAAAAGTTGCGATTTTCGAGCCCCAGCTACGAAAGTGGACTTCGCGTACTACTTTCGTACTAAAAAGTCGCGATTTTCGAGCCCCAGCTGCGAAAGTGGACTTTGCGTACTACTTTCGTACTTAAAAGTTGCGATTTTCAAGCCCCGGCTGCGAAAGTGGACTTTGCGCACTACTTTCGTACTTAAAAGTTGCGATTTTCAAGCCCCAGCTGCGAAAGTTGACTTCGCGTACTACTTTCGTACTTAAAAGTTGCGATTTTCGAGCCCCGGCTGCGAAAGTTGACCTTGCAAAAATGCTGCGCCTGCCACCAAATCTGTGCTTGACCTTGCTAAAGTGCTGCGCCTGCCACAAAATCTGTACTTGACCTTGCGAAAGTGCTGCGCGTGCCACGAATTTTGCACTTGACCTTGCGAAAGTGCTGCACCTGCCACAAATTCTGTACTTGACCTTGCGAAAGTGATGCGCCTGCCACGAATTTTGTACTTGACCTTGCGAAAGTGCTGCGCCTGCCACGAAATCGATACTTGACCTTGCGAAAGTGCTGCGCCTGCCACGAAATCTATACTTGACCTTGCGAAAGTGCTGCGCCTGCCACGCAATTCAAACCTTGCGAAACCTTCGCGCGGCCGTGCCAATGGGCCCGTCTCCGAGACCGTTCCGACCCGTTCCGCACCCGCCTCCGTACAGGCGTCGCAGCCGAGGTGGTTTGCGCACTGTCCGGAAGCCCAATTCACGCACAGCGCCAACGTTTTCTGCATCTTGCCATCCCCCAGCTCGCAGAGAGTGCTTGCGAAAGTGCTGCGCCTGCCACGAAATCGATACTTGACCTTGCGAAAGTGCTGCGCCTGCCACGAAATCTATACTTGACCTTGCGAAAGTGCTGCGCCTGCCACGCATTTCAAACCTTGCGAAACCTTCGCGCGGCCGTGCCAATGGCCCGTCTCCGAACCCGTTCCGAACCCGTTCCGAGACCGTTCCGAGACCGTTCCGAGACCGTTCCGACCGCCTCCGTACAGGCGTCGCAGCCGAGGTGGTTTGCGCACAGTCCGGAAGCCCAATTCCCACGCACAGCGCCAACGTTTTCTGCATCTTGCCATCCCCCCAAGGCTTCGCGAGCTAGTCCTTGCGAAAGTGCTGCGCCTGCCACGAAATCTATACTTGACCTTGCGAAAGTGCTGCGCCTGCCACGAAATCTATACTTGACCTTGCGAAAGTGCTGCGCCTGCCACGCAACTCAAACCTTGCGAAACCTTCGCGCGGCCGTGCCAATGGGCCCGTCTCCGAACCCGTTCCGAACCCGTTCCGAACCCGTTCCGAGACCGTTCCGAGACCGTTCCGAGACCGCCTCCGTACAGGCGTCGCAGCCGAGGTGGTTTGCGCATTGTCCGGAAGCCCAATTCACGCACAGCGCCAACGTTTTCTGCATCTTGCCATCCCCCAGCTCGCAGAGAGTGGACGCAGCACCTTGCGAAAGTGCTGCGCCTGCCACGAAATCGATACTTGACCGTGCGAAAGTGCTGCGCCTGCCACGAAATCTATACTTGACCTTGCGAAAGTGCTGCGCCTGCCACGCAATTCAAACCTTGCGAAACCTTCGCGCGGCCGTGCCAATGGGCCCGTCTCCGAACCCGTTCCGAACCCGTTCCGAACCCGTTCCGAGACCGTTCCGAGACGCACAGTCCGGAAGCCCAATTCACGCACAGCGCCAACGTTTTCTGCATCTTGCCATCCCCCAGCTCGCAGAGAGTGCTTGCGAAAGTGTTTTCTGCATCTTGCCATCCCCCAGCTCGCAGAGAGTGCTTGCGAAAGTGCTGCGCCTGCCACGAAATCTATACTTGACCTTGCGAAAGTGCTGCGCCTGCCACGAAATCTATACTTGACCTTGCGAAAGTGCTGCGCCTGCCACGCAATTCAAACCTTGCGAAACCTTCGCGCGGCCGTGCCAATGGTCCCGTCTCCGAGACCGTTCCGCACCCGTTCCGAACCCGTTCCGAGACCGCCGCCGTACAGGCGTCGCAGCCGAGGTGGTTTGCGCACAGTCCGGAAGCCCAATTCACGCACAGCGCCAACGTTTTCTGCATCTTGCCATCCCCCAGCTCGCAGAGAGTGCTTGCGAAAGTGCTGCGCCTGCCACGAAATCTATACTTGAGAAAGCTATCTACGTGTTAAGCTGGCTATATGTCAAAGCTATCTATCTGTCATGCAAGCCTATTGGAAAGCTATCTATCTGTCAAGCTAGCTATATGTCAAAGCTATCTATTTGTCATGCTAGCTACCTGTCATAGCTATATGTCAAAGCAGCTAGCTCATTTAGTTCCAGTACTACGGAAGTTTCTTGTTAAACTTCCTTTGACTACTACTACTACTACTACTACTAGTAGTACGACTGCTACTATTGCTCATTCTTTGGAGCCAGAGATGACTGTCCAAGTTGGAAGCCCCCTACTGGTTCGAGTTGAGGGTGGCCATTCTCAATTTGAGTTTTTCCAGGACCTGGCTATCACCCAGAACTTGCCGCCCCTGTTCCTCCAGGGCACGGATTGTCGCTTTTGCGGCTGCCTGGACGATGAATTAATGAAAGCTCGCCCCGCAAGTATGCTTGTGGGCAAGGGGCCTTTTTCACGAAGCGTCCTGACGCATGGGCCTCGTGCTAGCATCCCACGCTTTGAATAGTCAGGCTGGCAACAGTTGCGGTTCTTGTTTGAGGTTGCCTCTTCACCTCAAATGACAACACGCTGAATTTGGAGCATTTGTTTGGCGGGGCTCTTTTGCTATGTTTGGCCACTGTGGCTTTGAAGTCCTGCGTTACTGTGAGCGCGTGGGCGCCGAAATGCGTGAGCTGGTGTACGGCTGGTGCATGTTCATGCTCTACACGGCCAAGGCCCGAGCTAGAGCTTCTGGGCGGAATTGCCACCCGCGCTTGCAATGTCTAGCCTCCCGGTTTCACGACCCTGCCAGCTTCTGGTTCCTGATCACTGCCCTAGCCCAACCTGTTGCGGCCCGCCCATTGCCCTTAAACCGTCCAGGCCGGAGGCGACTCCCAAAGGCTGGTAGGTATGGGGAAAGATTTATAGAGGGATGGGGCACGAGACGAACTGTAAAGCATTGTAAAGCCGTGCAACAAGCATGTCCTAGTTGCCGAATCACCAGGTTGGCGCGTCATGTTGTGTTGGTGATCAACACTCGGCTTGTGAAGGGTTGCTAAGTAGCTTAGCCGCATGCTGGCTGGCAGTGCCAATCTCAGCATAACAACTCTCTCGGCTCAAAGTGCCTATGTTACTTTCAAGTTCTTTATATACCATAATTATCCGCTTCATGGAATCACAAATGATGTGTTAAAGCGCCGGCCTAGCTCCGAACTGAATTATTCCAGCTGGAGAAGTTCTGGCCCTGCCTCCATGTTCATGCTGCTGGTCCGCAGCAATCAGGCAAGAAACTCCCCAATGAAATGGAAGTGCATCCCTTGCTGTTTGTTTTTGAAGGATCCCTAGGTTCATTCCCAAAGTTTTGTTTTGAAATTCCCTATGGAGGCCTAGGCAAGTCATGCAACTCGTCGGAGTCGGGCTTAGGCGACCTTCCGCAAATCCACTTGCACCTCGCGGAGCTTCAAAAGTCCTGTGGCCCAAATGAGGCAGGAGCTCTGGCTGAGGCGAGTCCATACGCCCGGTTTTTCAGCTTCCGTTTTTACTACTCTGCTCGATAGTAAGCAGATCAGCACCCACTTTGGAGGCTTAAAATCATGGGTGGGTTGTAACGAGGGTTACTAGCCAATTGCCAAGAACCCTTTTATTGAAGTATGTCGCACACGGTTTGGAGAGCGTTTTTGACAGGAAACGAGGAGACCAGGCAAGTCATGGTCCCAAGTTGAGCACGCTAACGCCGAACATGAAGGCAGTCCGTGGGAAGACCACTTCATGCTTCAAACTCATGAGAATGAGATTAGTGGCCAAACTCGAGGCCAGGCGTGCATTGCTCTTGAGCCTCCATATGACAATACCACAGGAAACCGATTGGGGGTCTACCCAGAACCGATACCCCGAGTCAACTGTAGCCATGCTATTTGGTTGGCTGACAGGCTAGACAAGCTTTCATTTTTGTTATGATGCAGGTATGGTCAGCGCCCCAGTCGAGTCTCAAGCGTGAGCTTCATGCTAGCGTCAACTTGTTGATATTCTTTGAACACCTGGGCATGTATTGCTGATTAAAGCCACCCGCAACAGAGCAACTAAGATTTTGCTTGGACACCCCGTTTGGCAGCTACGTCTTCTACTGCGTTTGCTTTCTTCGGAACATCTGACTCACGCCCAAAACCAAATCTTTACTGTGTGACTTCGCATTTCCACGGCAGGTATAGCAGTGGGCTGAAACTAGCTTCTGTCGACACCAGAACTGGGAGGGATCAATGTTGCAATCTTCGGATCATCCTTGGCGCGCGGTTTCTGCATGACGCCGTCTTTGGGTGTTGTGTGTGACGTCTCAGTGGCGCCTTGGCTTTGAACAGAGTCGCCGAATGTCAAAGTATGAAGACACGGGTTGAACAGACCGAAATTCATGCAATAATGGCAATTGATTGCATAAAGTTTGTTTTGCCGGGGCGCCACCCGCTAATTATCATGCAGCGCCGTTTTCCAAAGTTACAAGCATTCCCGCGGTGGGTAAAACATGCTTTCCAAGCAACAGTTGCGCCCTCCCCAAGCCTCAATTACCGTCCAAACAAAGCACAGCCCAAGGAAGAACAAACCTAGGCACCCTTGAACTGCCTCGAAAGTGGGTTTGTGCATGCTCGATTCGTTTGGTTTCCTTTCACCAGCTACCCTCATTGAGGGCCAGTTTAAGCGGAAGAGGAAACATGACGTCCGTGGCCCGCCGGTAACATGGGGAGTCTCTACATTTGTCCACAGAAACCAGGGGACTCACGAATTTTCCCATGTCCTGTTGGGGAAGCAAGTATATTTTGACCACACGCGAGGAGAGCCTGGGAGAGCTCCTTCTAGAGTTCTTCCGCTACTTCGGCTATGCGCCTCGAAAGGAAACACGGGCCGGGCAATGCAACTGGAAATATGTTGAATGTCTTGTTTATTCAAATGGACCAGAATCAAAATTGCTTTTGGCGGGCGCAGAAGCTGATACAAACTTGGATCCGTGTGACAATTGACTACTCACAATTTCATGAACAACACAGCTTGCACAACACCATGCATGAACATCATACAATGAGGCTTCTCGGTCGTTTCATTGAACGGGCTGGTGAATTCGAACGTTCCACAAGAGTGCCATCTTTGTTGTATGTCGAAAAGCCTTCGACATGCAACCTGCTTCCTAGAGGGATCGAGTTTCCATGCTTTATTGTCCTTGAATATTGCTACAAATCCATCCAAGAGATGCGGCAACATCCAGGAATCACTAAATCACACAGCTTGCATTCTATACCGCTTGTTGGGCCCGTGCAGAATGCAAACAAAGGGCAGCCACCCGTGGACCGTCCCCATTCAGAGACGAGCCCATACTTCAGGTTTGGTTTTTGGTCGGCCCGCGATTGGCATCAAGTCCTGCATCAGTGAAGCTTCACTCAATGATGGAGCGGCAAACAAACATATGTTTTGTTGATGTAGCATGGGCTTGAGCAGTTCTCTCCATTAATGGGTTTCGGGTGGTCCCCTTTGTTTCGCTATTAGAAAAAGAACATCCATGGAGCCTGTAGGCGCGAAAAAGTCTGGGAACACAAAAGAGTAATCCTGCAAGTGTAAAGGCAAGTCTGTGCGCGGGTGCCATGTTTTTTTACGCAACAGCCTTAGGGCACGTGAAAACCCATGGAGATGTGGCTGTGAATTTTAATGGCGAAAGTCCTTCCAAATGGTTCTGTGTACATGGCAGCCGAGGTGTTAACAATTGAAATTTATACCCACATGTGTTGTTTCTTTCTTTTTTCTCTGCGATGTTGTGTCAGGGACGACCCTGGTCTGCTGTAAAATTATGAGACACCGATTTCAATGTGGCAAGCGAAGCGATTGCATGCCTTGTTGGCTGCTCCATTGAGAAGTGATTTGAGGATGGTTGTTGAAGGATAGAATCTCAAACAGGAAAGAACCACAGCAAACCGGGAAACCGGGACCAAATAATTTTTGACCCCGCTCCCACCCGGCTGCGGAGAGAAACCCTGATGACAAACGCACCTTCATTTGAGCCAAACGCATCAGCATAAAGTGGGTAAACAACCCTCCAGGAGTCCTGCTGCATGCACTAAGTGATGGCTGCTTAGGAGTATGTGACTACACCGTTTGCGTTGCCACATCTCATAGAAAATGACTCAAAACAGGGATGATTTGGTGCCTTCTTAGAAAGTACTTTACCTGGACCGTTCAATGGACTATCGGCACCCAATTCCTGCACCACTGCCAACTGCCACAGCCAAAAGGCGGAGGTGACCCCGATCAGGGGTTGAACGCACTCAACCCTTGCAATCCCCAAAAAACGCCAAATGGGACGAACTTGTGATAAACCGACACTGGTGGTACCTGTGATCTGCCCAGATACGTATGAATTAAACGTTGACTCGGTTCGGTTCTTGGCGCTTGCATTTGGTGTGAACCACCAAAGAAGAGGTCGGGCATACTTCGCCAGCTTGATGTCCACCAAAGGGTCTCCCGTTAAAGTTCACACCCATGTTCCTTCCTTTTCGAAGGTGTACGAGACCGGAGTCATCGCCATCCGTGACATCTCCTCCTTCACTCCACGGTTTGAGCCAGGCTCGCCTTTGCCCTCACAAAGAAACTCGGGTGGCGACCCCAATGCGTGTGCGTTTGGGGTGGGATCCTTCCTGCAACGTCTCATAAGCGGGTATTACTTCTGGTTATGTCGCGGGCACAAGGATCAACCCGTTTTGCCAACCAGAGACGTCGCTCGATGCACCCTGTGACAAATCAGTTCGTCTTACCTGATAGTCTTGGAAACAGACCGGGTTGAGAATGACGTGCAGTCTATGGTTCCTGTGGCTGTCCAGGGGCGCGCCAGCCTTTCCACCCTTGAATCTTGCAGATTTGGCTTTTGTGTGCCTTTGTTTAGGGTTTTCCAGCATTGGAGGGGCCCAAAGAATCAGTCCGGCAGCCTTGCACGCAGTTGTACTGGCAGGTGTGCACCTGTGTTATCTACTGCATTAGCCGGCCGCTGCAATCAAACTGCACATCCACCAGGTCGCCAATCATGTTCATTCCGGACATGTGTGTGTGTGTGTGTGTCTGATTTTGAGGGTACCCTTTTTAGGCTGGTTTAAAGGGAGACCAACATTTGAAGCACCATTGCTGGGCTCTCCTATTTTGACACATACCCAGTTGAACATCACTTCACTGGGTGAACAGGGTCCAGTGAGCTATGCTAACTAAGTCTTAAGTTCAGGGCCTCACTGCAAGGCTGCATGGAAGCAGGCCTCCTGGGAGGTTTGAAACTGGGGTGGCCTCTACATCAAACGAGAGCGAACCATGAGTGTGTGGCCGGTACAGAGCTACCCGTACGTTCAGGCGTGTCAGCCGTCAACGCGCGGCATGTGAGAAATCAGCAACTGAGGCATTTGTTTTTCGGTCGGGTTCACAGCACTCCTAGTTCAGCCTTGGTGATTGTCGTTTTTGGTCACCGGGCTGTGGGCAGGTCAATCATTTTACGTGGTGGACAACCCCTTCGAGCCTACCAAAGATGTGGCCAACATTGAGGCGGGAGCTGGATGTTGCGAATACACTCCTCAGATTGACACGGAACCCAAACACCCTCCACCAGGAAGTGGATTCTTCTTTTGGGGCGACCCCGCTTTTGGATTCCCTGCAGAGTATTAGAGAGGTCTGCAGACAATTCTTCTCCAGATATTACTTTAGGAGCTTCTTTCACGGTCATTTCTTCCCATTCATTTCCAGTGTTTGACATCTCTTGGAATCGCTGACCATGGGAAGAGACCAAGAGATAGGAAAGGAAAAGGCAATGTGTCTAACCGCTTCATTCATAGGTCTCGCGGTTCCTTTCGCTTCTTGGGTTGGCTTTATGTGTCTTTCTTTATCTTCAACTGCCAACCCATCTGAAGACAGGGATCTTGGAAAGCTTCGAGGCTCAGCTTCGCCTGCTGCCCATATGTAGTTGCTTAAGATGAATGTTGCACCGGGGGAATAGAACTGAATCCCGCGTCGCTCACTTCCCGGGGCACGCGGAGGTGCGCCTTTACACGTGCCTCCGGGAGGAGTTCCGCCGAGTCCGGGGCCCTGGGACTCAACACGGGCATGGGATCCAAGTGATCGACTCAAGTTCTTGTGCATGGCTTCATGGCTTATTGTTTTGTTTCAGCATGTGCTTGTGGAATTGCGAAAGCATTCAAAAGGGGCATAAACAGACCCAGCCCTTTTCAGACTGCCAAGTCACCATAAATAGTGTCCGTTCATAAGACTTGTCACATCTTGCGGAATCATGATCACTCTGAGCGGATAAGGTGTCACTGCTTACGGAAGTGAAACTGTCACTGCTTACGGAAATGAAGCCACTACACGCGGAAAAGTATAGGGGTAGGAAGCTCCTTTCTAGGTTCCTTTCTAAGGCTCCTTTCTAAGGCTCCTTTCTAAGGTTCCTTTCTAAGGCTCCTTTCTAAGCCTCCTTTCTAAGGCTCCTTTCTAAGGCTTCCTTTCTAAGGCTCCTTTCTAAGGCTCCTTTCTCTAAGGCTCCTTTCTAAGGCTTCCTTTCTAAGGCTCCTTTCTAGGGCTCCTTTCTAAGGCTCCTTTCCAAGGCTCCTTTCTGAGGCTCCTGAGGCTCCTTTCTAAGGCTCCTTTCCAAGGTTCCTTTCTAAGGCTCCTTTCTAAGGCTCCTTTCTAAGGCTCCTTTCTAAGGCTTCCTTTCTAAGGCTCCTTTCTAAGGCTCCTTTCTAAGTCCTTTCTAAGAATCCGGCATTCCAGCTCGAAAAGCGGACCCGGCCAATCCCTCCTGAAAGGGGGCCGTGATGAAGGTTGTCTTGGGGATCCGCTTTTCGAGCTGGAATCCGGCATTCCAGCTCGAAAAGCGGATCCTCAGCCAATCCCTCCTGAAAGGGGGCCGTGATGAAGGTTGTCTTGGGGATGCGCTTTTCGAGCTGGAATCCGGCATTCCAGCTCGAAAAGCGGATCCCCAGCCAATCCCTCCTGAAAAGGGGGCCGTGATGAAGGTTGTCTTGGGGATCCGTTTTTCGAGCTGGAATCCTGCATTCCAGCGCGAAAAGCGGATCCCGGCCAATCCCTCCTGAAAGGGGCCGTGATGACGGTTGTCCTGCTGATCCCTTTTAGAGCTGGAATCCGGTAAATTCCTAGCTCGAAAAGCGGATCCCCGGCCAATCCCCGTCCTGAAAGGGGGCCGTGATGAGAAGGTTGTCCCTTGAGGATCCGCTTTTCGAAGCTGGAATCGGCATTCCAGCTCGAAAAGCGGAATCCGGCATTCCAGCCCCTCCTGTGATGAAGGTTGTCTTGGGGATCCGCTTTTCGAGCTGGAATCCGGCATTCCAGCTCGAAAAGCGGATCCTCAGCCAATCCCTCCTGAAAGGGGGCCGTGATGAAGGTTGTCTTGGGGATGCGCTTTTCGAGCTGGAATCCGGCATTCCAGCTCGAAAAGCGGATCCCCAGCCAATCCCTCCTGAAAAGGGGGCCGTGATGAAGGTTGTCTTGGGGATCCGTTTTTCGAGCTGGAATCCTGCATTCCAGCTCGAAAAGCGGATCCCCGGCCAATAAGCGGATCCCCGGCCAATCCCTCCTGAAAGGGGGCCGTGATGAAGGTTGTCTTCTTGGGAATCCGGCATTCCAGCTCGAAAAGCGGATCCCCGGCCAATCCCTCCTGAAAGGGGGCCGTGATGAAGGTTGTCTTGGGGATCCGCTTTTCGCTGGAATCCGGCATTCCAGCTCGAAAAGCGGATCCCCAGCCAATCCCTCCTGAAAAGGGGGCCGTGATGAAGGTTGTCT